CCCCAAAACCCCAAAACCCCAAAACCCCAAAACCCCTTATCCTCAATTTGGCTTAAGGAGATTATCAGATTAATTAGTTCAGTTTATCGTGATATTTTGTCACTCAGATCTTCTTAAGGAAGTTACAATTTTGAGAATTCTTAGCTCTAGTCGTCGATTTTTGAGATCTGTTCAGCTTGATGTTGCTGATAGTCCGTTGCATCAGTTTTCTTAGCTCGGAATCAGGCTCATTCTTGATGTTCTTCATTAGTCTAGAAAACTCTTTACTGCCTCTGGACCTCATCCTTCTTTTGGCATTTTTACGAATTGTGCTCTTGAAAGTTGAGGCAGTTTTAATCTTGAGCGTCTTGTCAAAATTTGTCGTGTTTAACATTCTTTTATATCCTCCTATTTTGTTAAGCAGATGAAGTACTGATATTGGTACAGGTCATATTTTGAAGCCTTGCTAGGGTATTTCTGGGGTCCTTGCTCTGACTTGGAGTGCCAGATCTGCACATTTTCTGAACCTTATTGAATGAACGCTGCTTTCTGATTTTGTCTATACTGAGCTCCTGGGCATAATCATTGGAGGATTCCTTCAGAGATGCAAGAGTACTTCCTTGGTTGGTACCCTAGAGAGAGTGAGTTAAATTAGTCCTTACCATCGTTGATTCCGGAATGTGTTTAAATTTCTTTTGAACCTTGATTTCATTCTGGCAGTATTCATTTTGGTTCTGAAAAGTTCTTTGATTTCTTTCACCTTTAGGGATTTCTTGAGAAGCATTGAGCTTGGAGGCTATCTTTGAGGCTCTTTTAAGTTGTATCGTGCCACAAGTCCTTCCAAGATTCCTTCTTGGCTTCATCTCAATTGGTCCGGCTACATATAAGGTTAACTTTGTGTAATGTAAGATTGATCAGTAAGAAATTAGGAATTTACATTTTCGATTCATCATTCGTAATTTTATGGTTTGGTTGTGAGCAACGATTTCCGCTTTTATTTTTGATCGGATTTTGGTTTGCTATAAATAGGTATTAATAACTGCTCCCAACATATACGCTCTTAGAGGTTTTCTTACCTGGAAATAGTTCCTTGTTGCATTCTCTTCCTTCTGAGCATTAATGAGTCCCCTAAACTGCTTGAAATTAAGACGAAAGTCTTTGGACAGCTCGTCTATTCTTTGCCTCATTTTGGCCACTTTCTTCACAGAGGTGAAATGGTCGATTCCTCTCTCTTCAGAAGTTGGTTTTACGGGGTTTTCAGGGCTGTCGAAAGTGACTTTCATTGTAGTTGATAGCTTATCATCTTGTCCATCGGGAGAGTGAGTTGCAGATCTCTCTTTTAGAGAAAGCAGTCTCTTACTCCTAGTTGGAGACTTAAGGCCTCCCTTTTTAGGACTCTTTGGCTTTTTCTGAGATTCTAGGAATTTCTTCATCAGTGATCCTTTTCAATTTTGTTTGTTGAATAGAGAATTGTAGATCATTCTCCAGTTATTTCTCTCTTTGCCAGGTGAAAAATCAAGCATCTCTTTATTGTAATCAGGAGACAAGTTCATAAAATCTAGGTAGAATGGGGTTTGAGAAGTTTTACTAAGGCTCTTTAAGTCTTCTTTGGAGCGATGCCTGACGTTATCAACCGTAATAGTAATTTTTCTGATCTTCTTCTTAGAGCAAAACTTTGGTCTCTTAACTCTGATAGTTCGCCTAGTAATCCTAGTTTTTGGGAGGGATGATAGCTTATTTCTTCCTTTCTTAGGTGAAAGTATGGCTAAATGCTCACAATGAGAGTACTTACATTGAGTAGTCTTAGTAGATTCTACCTTGAACAGCTTAATATCTTCAGCTAGATCATTGGCAAAGTCTTGCATTTCTTCATCAACTGCCAAGAAGTCGTTTGCTTGATTAATATCGTTCATTATATTTCTTAATTTTGTATTTCTAATCAAAATCAATTTTTTTTGCTTATAAGGGGTTTTGGGGTTTTGGGGTTTTGGGGTTTTGGGG